TTTTCAGCCACCGCCGCTTGGTTCGACTTCATGAGGTATCCTACTGACTGCGCGCATTGCAGGGCGACCGACCAGCACTGCCTGAATTGATGAAGGAACTTTGCAGCTTGGAAGGAGTTTGGATCGGCGTTGAAATACCGCCAAGCTGCAATGTTCGCCAGCAATTTCAAGAACACCGGGACCTCCCTACCCCCCTGATGCGGCAGCAATTTCAAGAACACCGGGACCTCCCAAACAAGCAACCACACCCCCCTCCCCCCCCCCCCCCCCCCTCCCCCCCATACCTAAGGTGCCTCTAGTGTTGTGAAGCAGTCACCGGGGCTCAACACCCCCTCTAGTCCCCCCAGTGGGGGGTTCCCTGCGCGTGCTGCCAGGTTCAGCTTTGTGAGAAAGCTCACTGCCTGAGCTCACTAGAGGGCAATGGACCAGCGCTGGCGGAACTGATGGAGCATCTTCGCGGCCTGATAGGTAGATGGGTCCGCATTGAAGAGCTTCCGCGCAGCTTTGTCCGCCAACAGCTTCAAGAAGGTGGGCACCTCATCACAGGGGCAGCCATAGGTCTCAACTGCCAAGGGGAAAAACCCAGCAAACTCCGCCCTGCCAAGGTAGAGGTCTATTTTCTTGTCCGCGGCCTCCCGTGCTGCCCAGCCCCTCCCCTTCCTTGCAGTCTCGTCCCGCTTGCTGATGGGGTCTGTGATTGTGATATCTGCCAGCCACACCGCCTCCGAGCTCCCATCCCTGAAGGCCAGGTCAGCCTTCTTGTTGTCCACCGGACTGAAGGCAGTGCATTCCTTGTGCACTGCAAATCCTGCATCCTGCGCCATGCGGATGCACTCGTCACGCAGCTCGTTGTGGGTGTTGGTCCGGCCATGCCCTGTACCGCACCTAAGCAAGTGGTTCGGCAGCCTCTTATCCAGAATGGGGACCCGTTTGGTGCACTCACAGCAGTCGGGCACAGAGAGTGGCAGGCCGAGCCTAAACTGGAGGGCGAACGTGAAGTGGCAAGGGTATAGGCGTAAGGAAGGCATGTAGGGGATCGCCATGAGCCATTCCCCCGCCCCATAGCCCGTGAGGGACATGAGGCGCTGGGTGTGGCCTAGCAGGGGGTTCAGCTCCATCTGCCTAGATGCGGTAATCTGGGCTGCACTCCGGCCCCCTTGGACTAGGAGAGCGAGGCGGTGCTGCAGCTGGCCCTTGGGTTTTGCCTGCTCCGCCGAGATAAGGTCCCTCGCCTCCTGCGTGAGGCTGTCCCTGCAGTCCCCGATCCACCTCTGCAGCTCGTTGGGGCTGTGGTCGGCTGCTGCAGAGGTGTCTAATGCCGCTGTCAAAGTGGCCCCTGCCTGCCCCTCTAGCTGACCGAGGAGTATGTGTGCCTGCACAAAGCTTGCCAGAAAACTGTACCGGCCCTCTACCGCTGGGTTGGCGAGGCACAGACCGCCTAGGCTTGGTGGGAGTGAGGCTTGATCCCAGATACGTCCGTCCTCTGTCTCTCCCCTTGGGTGGCGCACCCCGCAAGCATCCAGAAGCGTGTACAGTAGCGCCCGGCCCCACCCTGACCACTCTGCTTCGGGTAACAGGTATAGGGGTGTGGTGCGGGCTAAGTAGGAAATGCGCCTGGAGATACACCGTGTTAGGAGTAATGCCGCTACTTGGGGGTCCATTTTTGCTAAGTGGGGCAGCGGGGACGATAGTGTCTTGAGCTGTGATCGTAGAAAGGCTGCTGCTCCGATTGTCGTGCCAATGAAGCTTCCTAGCACTCTCAGCCCCTCCGTGCGTAGCGTGACACCCTCGGGCAGCTGCTGGGGGTCTGTTGCTGCTGCGCTCCACGTGGCGCACTTCCCTAAATTGTGGGTCAGTCCTACGTCGCGTAGGCTAGCCGTGAAGTGGCAGAAAGCGTCGAAACAGTCAGCAGCAGGGCCCAGGAAGGTGATGTCGTCCGCGAATGCTAAGCATAGAACCGTAGGGAAGGCTGCTACTGTCGTGGTGAGAATAGGGTGGATCCCTGCGGCGAACAGCAGCGGGCCGAGCGGATCCCCCTGTCGCACGCCTGTCTTGCTACTTAGTGCCTCGCAACCGAACCCCGCGTCAAGGAACAATTGGACCGGCCTGCAATAGGATGCTTTGACGAGGGGAATAAGGCTTTGGAGGTCGATGTCGCGACGTGCACTGACTACTGCTGCGCGGCTAATCGAGTTAAAGGCGTTCGCTAGGTCGGCTTGCAGTATAAGCGTTCCTGGGTTTGCATAAATGAAGGCCCTCGCGGCATGGATATTCGCTTCGCTACCGCCCTGGACGGACACGCAGTACTGTAACGGGAGGAAATGTTGTGAGAATCATAAGCATAGTGAGGAGCCATAGCTAGGGTTTAGCTAGCTAGGCAAGAGAGAAAAGAACAAAGGAGGGGTTTCACTAGCAGCAGTTGGGATACATATAGCAAACCCTAACAGGGTTGTACTCGCTATAGAGCACCCCACTACAGGCTAGATAATAACATTCTGACACACCCCCATAGCCAAAGTGGGGTGTAATCAGCAGAGCACGCAGTCATAGAGCAGGTTCACAAATGCAAGCAAAGCTAGAGGCTATCACAGAGGGCAAGTGAGGAGGAGGAGGAACTGTGGAAGGAGAGAAAATGGGAGGCAACGACTGAAGCTGCAGAGGCACGGGCACAGGAGCGGCTGACTCAGTGGCTACCGAAGCAAGGGCGACGGACTACTGGAGTGACTGGCTCCGCGGCTATAGACGAGCGGCAGGAGCAACGGACCCACTGGCGACTGGTGCAACAGGCTCACTGGCTACCGAAGCAAGGGCGACGGATTACAGGCGCTGCAGGCGACACGACAGCTACCTCCACACAACCTCCTCCAACTGACCTTGACACACACCCCCTGCTGAACCCCTAACTCCACTCCCACGTCACCCCCCTAGCACCACTCCTTCGGCTCCCACACACCCACCCCCCTGAGCGGCAGCTGCAGCAGCGGGAGACGGAGGAGGAGGAGAAGTAGTGGAACGGCGCACAGAAACTGCACCCCCATACCCCCCACCCCCAAACCCTAATTTAGGAGAACGGGCAGCCGCAGGGGTGGGGCACCGTCAGAAGCACGGGGGACAGCGAGCAGCGCAGGGGCAGAGAGGAACGGGCCGCCCACGGGCCTGGCACAGCCCGACGAACCGCGCGCAGGCGGCCCGAGCCGCGCGCGGGCCTGGCGCAGCCCATACGGGCCGCGCGCGGGCCTGGCGCAGCCCGTACGGGCCGCGCGCGGGCCTGACGCAGCCCATACGGGCCGCGCGCGGGCCGGGCGCAGCCCATACGGGCCGCGCTCGGGGCTAGCGCAGCCCGCGCTGGCCGGGACGGGCGACGGGGGACGACGGGCTGGTCCTCGTCGCCCGTCGAAGCGCCCCCCGGGGGCGACGCGCGGACCGACGAGGTAGAAGGCCGCCGCGCGCCTCGGGGCGCACGGCGGGCAGAGAACCGCCGCACGCCCCGGGGCGCACGGCGGGCAGAAAACCGCCGCGCGCCTCGAGGCGCACGGCGGGCAGAAAACCGCCGCACGCTCCGAGCGCGCGGCGGGAAGAAAAATCCGTCGCACGCCACGGGGCGTGCAACACACAGAGTAGCAGCGGAAGCAGTTAGGTGGGCCCACAGGCCAGGAGCGTAGATGCTCTGATAGCATGTGAGAATCATAAGCATAGTGAGGAGCCATAGCTAGGGTTTAGCTAGCTAGGCAAGAGAGAAAAGAACAAAGGAGGGGTTTCACTAGCAGCAGTTGGGATACATATAGCAAACCCTAACAGGGTTGTACTCGCTATAGAGCACCCCACTACAGGCTAGATAATAACATTCTGACAAATGTGCACGGCATTCTTGGGAGACGGCTGAGAGGGGGGACTTGGCGTTAATCGTAAGATACACTCGCCTACCGCTATCGGTCTAGTTCCTCCGTGAGGCTTGGCTAGAGCTATGAGGCGGCTGGCTGTTAGTAGCGAGCAGACCTCATCGGGCAGTTTGCCTCCCAAAATAGTGTTGACGAGGGCGTGGAGGTGTGTGGCAACCCCCGCGTTGGCGAGTGATGCATCACGCAGGTGTTCAAATGTCATACCCGATGGTCCTCCTCCCACCCCGTTCTCACAACGGCACAGCATTTTAATGAAGTCCCCTTTTTCGATCGACGCCGCTTGAACAGTATCGGGGATGTTCCAATCGATGATACCAGGTGGCGCGAGGGGGTCTTTTGCTTTGAGAGCGGCGAGGATGGGTGCAGATGGGTCGGCGACCGGCGTTGACTCAAGGGCGAGGATCGCCCTGCGAAGGCTTCCTTTTCGTGCGAGGCCTTCTGCCCTGGCACGTTTGCCAAGGGCATCTGGCGTATGGCGAGGCGGGTGTGGTCCAGTGATTGCAGTAACCGCCAAAACGTAAAGCTGCTGCCATTCGCCTTTGTTAAACTGGCGAAGTCGGTACCGCTGGCCAATCGGGCTTCTCCGTTGACGGGAGGCGAAGGGTGAGGCGCGGGAGAAAGAGTAACATGCGCCAGCCTGCGACTGACGCAGGGTTACGCGCGAGGTGAAGGAGTGGTGTGAGGAGGGCTGTGGCGAAAAGTGGGCGAATGTCAGCAGGGAGTTTACGCGAAAGTGGGGGCTGACGACTGTCGCGTAGAGGGGTCAGGTCCCATAATTCCACTTCGCCGAACCGCACCTAGTCCTCGGCCAATTGTTCAGGCGAGAATTGGCGGGTCTCTGACGCGGTGGTGTCCGGTACCGGCCGGTTTAATTCGCCACCTGTTGCTGCTGGAATTGGAGTGGCTCGGCGTGGTGCTGGGTTTGCCCGACGTCTACCTTCTCGTTCCTCCTCTAACTCCCCCGATTCTTCCGTAGTGACTCTTCTTCAGTGTTCTCCGCTCTTTGAGTTAAGGCGCGGCGTGCTTCCCTCTGGAAGCCATTCTCTGGTCCGCCTCCCCTCCCAGTCGCACCTCCTCGTCCGCCGCCTCGTCCGCCCTGCGATGCCGGTATCGCTAGGCGCCGATTATTCGTATTCGCCACGGCACTTTGTCGTGGCGTCTGCTGCGCTTGTCTCGCCGGTGCTGTCGGCGCCGGTGGCTCCTGTTGCGGCAATGTCTGCCGCGGGTTCTCCTGCTCACGCGTGCTCCACGGTAGTCGACTCTGGATGAGAGTCGGCGGGTGTGGCCGCCCCCCCGCGCGTGGTGCTGTTGACGCCTGTCCCTGCCTTCGTTCTGGCGCCCGCGGCTGACGTGGCGCCTCTTCCTGCTCCTGGCGCGGCGCCCTCTCCTGCTCCCCCCGTACCTGTGTCGCCGTCGCCTGATGCGGCAGCAGCTGATGCTGCTGATGTGGCGCCCGCATCTGGTGTGTCGCCACTGCCTACGCCGGTACTGGCGCCGCCTCTCGTGGCTCCTGTGGCGCTCCCCGCGGCTCCCCCATCTGCGCCTATCCTTCCCCCGGCTGTGCAACCGCGCAACTCCCGTCCTCATTCGCCCTCCCCACGAGATGAGCGAGGTGCGTCTCGGCGTCGGCGAGATTCCCCTCGTCGGCGGCAGCCGCAGGTGAACTGGCATGCGCACCAGGGTGGCTGGGGGGAGGTCACGGTCGCAGGCGTGGGGGGTGGCTGGGCGCGCCCGCGACAATTGCCGATGTACGGCAGATAGTGACCGAGGCATTTCGCGACGGTCACGCCGGTCCGGCGAGTCAGGGCAGCTCGCGGCGTGCGTCTCCAGCGCCGACTGCCCCCCTTTGTGCTGCTCGCCCTGCGATTTCCCCCGCGCAGGCTGTGTCATTGCCGATTCCCCCGCCTCCGGCTCAGTTGGGTGGGGCCGGGCTCCCTCCTCTCTGGCTCCCCTCTCTAGCGGAGGAGCTCCTTCCTCCGCGTGCGGAGGTTCCTGAGGCGACACTCGGCCAATTGTGGCGGCTCTCGGAGAGCCTTCGAGCGCTGCTACTGGTGCAGACGCTGGCGCACGGGTCTCTTCCACCTGTTCCTGCGGAGTCCCTGCTTGACGCCCTGCGAGACGACTGTCTTGATGCGGCCGACCAGATTGCCCTCCTCCTGGCGCCTGTGTTGGCCGCGCCCGTGCGGGGAAGCGTTGGGGCTGTGGGGCAGCTGGATTCGGCCGTGAGGGACTTGCGGCGATATCTGCGGGCAGGTTCCGGAGCCGACGCGATTGGTGCAACCATACTGGTGGTGCGCTCGGTGTGGCAGTCGATGACGGGGATCCTTCATGCCCCTGCAGGCAGATCGGATGTAGCACCCGCCGCGGCTTGATCCATGGTTGAATCTTGGACGTAGTAGTTGTTGTCATGCGTGTATGTCGTGCGTATAGTCTCTTGTTTGCTCTTTACTTGCCGTCCCTAGCGCGCGGCCGGAGGCCGTGCTGTCGAGCGTCGGCCGCCGAAGGCGGCCGGCGCAAGCCGCTGGGTTAGAAGAAATGAACCCACGAAGTGAATAATGAGCTACCCACCAGGCCCACGGCCTTAAATAGCAGGGGAAGGGGCGGCTGAGAGGCTAAGAGGCTAAGGAACTAAGGGACTATGCCTCTCTCTCTCTCTCTCTCTCTCTAATGGTCCGTGTATTGATAGATCATGAAAGTAGACACATGCAAGGTATAAAGCAAGCAAATGGAAACATAGTGCAAGCATCACCTAAGCTCTTCTGCCACCCCCATACTACCCCACTCTAGAGCTCCAGGAGTGGCTCCACCACTGCAAAACAGTCCCCCAGGTGCAGCTCATGCCCAATGCCCCCCACCGGAGGGTTCTCTACCGCCGCCGCCTCGCCCAACTTCATTAGAAGCCCCACGGATTGGGCCCTTTGCAGGGCCACTGACCAGCGCTGCCGGAACTGGTGCAAGAACTTGGCGGCATAGAAAGATTTTGTGTCGGCGTTGAAATGCCGCCGAGCCGCTGAGTCCGCGAGGAGCTTGAGGAAGACGGGTACCTCTGCGCATGGGCAGCCGTATGTGTCTACCGCCAGGGGGAAGAAGCCAACCGTCTCTGGGCGGTTGGCATAGTGCTTAAACTTTTTGTCGGCCTGCTCACGCGCCGCCCACCCTCTGCCTTTTTGAGCCTCTGGGTTAGAAGAAATGAACCCACGAAGTGAATAATGGGGCAGTATGTAGCTGACTCGCTGTGAACAACGGGGCAGTATGTAGCTGACTCGCTGTGAACAATAAATCCCGCGTCCTGTGCCATGCTGATGCATGCATCTCTGAGCTCGTTATGAGTGTTGATGCGCTGCTTCCCCGTGCCGCAGCGAAACAGGTGGTTAGGAAGTCGAGGGTCGGTGATGGCAATGATGGCAAGTCTCTCTCTCTCTCTCTCTCTCTCTCTCTCTCTCTCTCTCTCTCTCTCTCTCTCTCTCTCTCTCTCGTTCACTCTTTGGATTTGCTCTTGCTTTTCCTTATGGCATGACATGACCTTTGGCCCGTGGCCAAGACATAGGCAGCCCATGCCGACGAGTAGTGGGGCCGTTTGCTCGGGATCGTGTGGGTGCTTGCCATTTCGTCGCTCTCTGTTTTTTTTTTTTTTTTTTGTCATCCAAGCCAAGATCAGAAAGTACTTCTTTCAAAATAAAGCCCTTAAGAGACGGGCCACACATAGCCATGCTTCCTAGCATGCATCCGCCCCACACCGCGTAGGCCAATTTATGGGACCGAAGGGCTTTCTATTCCCTCTCCCACTCCTAGGCCTATAGCCTAATCGTCACCCCTAATTAGGGCTTAGCAAATAGCCATCGCAAACCCCTTTGGGTTGCCCACGGTCAACGCACTTGACGTGCACCGTGCCACGCGCGCTAAGGCGCAAACGCTCAAGGACCATCCCTACACCACGGGTGCGGGTCCTTGGCCACCATTCCCATTCCGCGGGCAGCCACTTGCCACATGCCCCGGCTGGCCACAGCAGAAGCACGTCCCACGGAAGCCGTGGAAGCTCCCCATAGACGGGCCACGCTTGGGGTTGAACGCCATCGGCCCGCGTCCTCCGCCGCGGTGGGATCGAGCATGCGTACCCTCCGCGCGATCCATTGCTGCCACATCGGCGACGGCTTGCTTGAAGGGGCGGGAGGTAAGGAGGCTTTTCTGCTGGTACATCTTGAACCGCTTGGCGACACGATCGTCGGTGGCGTCCTTGACTTGAAGCATGTCGTAGCGCTCCGAAATGTAGTCGAGGGCGCTCTCGACCATTTCAAGTCCGCCCGCCGCATCGCCGCGCTGCAGTTTGTACTCCGCGTGCTTCCGGTAGGCCCTCACGTCCTCCAGGGGCTCCACTTTTGCTCGCACGATCGGGTCGATGAAAAAATGGGGTTAGTGGAAGGGATGGGGGGGGAGATTTTCTATGGAGGCAAAATTTGTTGCGTTGTTCGGAGCCTCACCGGCGTCGTCGTCTGAGTCGTCGGAGTCGTTGTTGACCGCTGCGGCTTCAGGAGCGCTGGTCACCGCCTCCTTGTCGTGGCGGCGCATTGATGGTCCTTTTGCTCCTTTCTCTTTTTTTGCAATGTTGTTTTTAGCCGATGCAGATGCTGCAGGTTGTGTAGTTTTGGCGGCGGTCACGCTAGCGGGGTGCTGCTATAACAGGGACAAGAGGGCCTTGACTTGGTCCGGGGCCAACGCCTCGGTCAAGGCTTGGTCATCCGTCGCGTCAGACGAGGCGGCCGTACGACGCCTCTGGCGCTGACGCGACGGCCGGCCGGAGGCATGTGTCGCTGGCGCGTGCTCCGCGTCCGTGGCGTGTGTCGCCACGTTCGCTACTGGCGCCACTGGTGCCACCGGCGCCACAGGCGCCGAAGGGTGCTGGGGGTGCTGCTTGGCGTTTTTGTTGACTTCGAGCCCGCCCAGCAGCACGTCCACGGCGGTCGGGGCGGATGTTTCGCAGTCTGCCCGGCGCTTGTTGCGACGCTCGCCCGTCGTTTCACGGGCGTTACGGTCGTTGTCGGAAATTGTCGTGTCGTTGGCAACATTGTTATTAGCACGGTTAAGTGTCGGCGTCGCAGCCATAGTTGAGCGGTTTTGGTTAAAGATGTCGGCTAATAAAGTTGAAGGGGAAAACTATAAGTGAGCTTGAGAAACTAGAGTTGTATGAGCCGTTGGAAGATGCGAGACGTGGGTGGAGGGAAATGAGCTCCAACCCACGATTTGTAGTTGGAGAATGGCGTTTAGCGTGCTCCGACGATGCCAAAACATGCGTTACAAGCAGCTGCGCTTTCGAAATACGTAATTTTGAAAAGCACTTAGTGTGTTTAAAATTTATAATATTTGAATAAAATAATTTGTTGGAAACAAAACAAATATTTTTTATTAATTGATGTTATTGTTTCATTGATAGTCTTGCAGTATGCTTACAAAATTTGCAATTATGGTAACATTTTTTTAGTCTGGTTCATATAGTAGTTGTTGTTGAACGTGCACTGACGAATTCTGGAACTGTACATGCAGTTACCGAAGTTCAAATCGGGGGTAGTAATGCAGATTACACCGATCACATGTTCCCTCTACCCACAATTTTGTTCTCCCACAGGCTTTGAGGAGTTGCGATCACCAAATATAGAAGTCGAGGAACCAAGCGAAGAAGATACACCTGATGCACGAAACAGAAAGTCCATCCATCCAACCAAGTTTGAACACTCGGCAGATAGCGAAAGGTTTGCTGGAAAGGTGTACCGCAGAAACCAATGGAAACCAACATGCCGATATTGTTTGTCACCAATCGCCAACCGGCATTGCTGGCAGATTGAATCTCGCCCTTTTCCCTATCGATAGCTCCATGACTACCCACAACCTGCAAGCAACCTTCAACCTTCGTGCGATGTTGGTCTAATGGACCGGTTGGACCAACTTGCCTGTTGGTCGAAAAGCCTGGTTGGACCAACTGGCATGTTCATCCAACGGAACAACTTGCCGGTTGGTCCAATGGAGCAGTTGGACCACCTGGGCGGTTGGTCAAATGAACTGGTTGGACCATCTAGCTTGTTGGTCCGATGGACCGGTTGGACCAACAGTCCTGTTGATCTAGTGGACCAATCGGACCAATTGGTTTGTTGGTCCAACGAACCTGTTGGACCAATTGGCGAGTCGGTCTAATGGACCAGTAGGACCAACTGGCATGTTGGTACAGTAGGCCGGTTGGCCTAACCGGCGAATTGGTCCATTGGACCGGTTCGAACAACTGGCCGGTTGGTCCAATGGACCGGTTTGATCAGCTGGCCTGTTGTTCGAATGGACTGTTTAGACCACCTAGCCTGTTGATCCAATGGACCGGCTGGACCAATTGACTTGTTGATCTAACCGAGGGCTTGGAACAACTGGCCCATCGGTCGAATGGACCAGTTGGACCAACTATCCTATTGGTCGAAAGGACTAGTTGGACCAACTGGCCGGTTGGTCCATTGGACCAGTTGGACAAACTGACTTATTGGCCCAATCGACCTTTTCGACCGATTGGCCTGTTGGTCGAATAGACTAGTTGGACCAACAGGCATGTTGGTCCAATGGACCGGTTGGACAAATTGGCCGTTTGGACCAACTCGCCAGTTGGTCTATTGGACAGGTTAGACCAACTGGCCTGTTGGTCCAATGGACCAGTTGGACCAACTAGCCTGTTGGTCCAATTGTCCGGTTTGACCGACTATCTTGTTAGTCGAATGGACTAGTTGGATCAGCTGGCTTGTTGGTCGAATGGACCCGTTGGACCAACTCTGGTCAGTTTTGTCCAATGGACCGGTTGGACCAACTAGCGTGTTCGTTCATTCAACCAGTTAGACCAACTGGCCAGTTAGTCCAATGGACCGGTTGCACCAACAATCATATTGGTCCGGTGGACCGGTTGGACCAATTTGCCGGATCGTCTAATGGACCGGTTGGACCAACTGGCCTGCTGGTCCAATGGACCGGTTGAAACAACTGGGCTGCTGGTCTTATGGACCAATTGGACCAATTGGCTTGTTGGTCCAACGGACCGATTAGACCAACTGGCCTGTTGATCAAGTGGGCTGGCGTGTTGGTCCATTAGACTGGTTGGACCATCTGGCCGGTTGGTCCATTGGACAGCTTGGACCAACTGGCGTCTTGGTCCAATGGATCGGTTGGACCATTTGGCCTGTTGGTCCGATTGACCGGTTTGACCAACTATCCTGTTAGTCAAACGGACCAGTAAGACCAACTGGCCTGTTGGTTCAATGGACCGGTTGGACAAACCGGCTTGTAGATCAAGTGGGCCGGTTGGACCAACAGGCGTGTTGGTCCATTGGACCGTTGGACCAACTCGCCTGTT